CGTACAAGTATCTCCATTTCCTGTTATGTTCTGTGTATTTTAACTTTTGGTACTCTCAGTATATTTTGATGCCTGAGTGCTTCACAAACACATGGTATTTTCAATTTTTCTTACAATACATCACAACAAACAGCCTTATGCACGGCTGGGTGGCGTGCCTGGGTGTGTGCAGGCGTTTGACCCATGGGTATATAAAGAGACCTGAGGACAGCGTTGGAGGCGGGGCCTCGTCCTCGTGCACTGTGCGGCCCATCGAGCAGGCACACTAGAGACTTTCGGCTTACTTCCTGTTTAGCGCCCCGCTAACTTGAATGGGGATTAAATTATTTTGTGGCTCTTGTAGACTTTCCAAATGTTATCGGACTGAATGGATCAAATTCTGATACTGAAACTAGTCATTTTGTGGGCGTGGTGATGCTCAAAATATGTATCCACTGATTTATGGACATCTCTTTCCCTGTGTAAGACACTAAATCGAATTATTGGCTTAGTCCAACTGAAACCGGACTTTTAAATGCATGTAAACAGCTTAGTCTGACTTACTGACTGTGAAAGTCTTTTTGGGCCACAGGGTGCCACTTGACGGACATAGTTACACTGTTTGTTCACTATGAAAACTGGCATCAAAGCCTGGCGCACTTTCTGGAGAACTGGTTTGAACTCTGATCCTGACTGTAGTTGTTCTTTTATCTCAGACATGTGTTAGGATGTCACATACCTTGATGAGTTTCAGCCGAAACAGGACAGTCATGATCAGATATTAAGGTATGTAACACCTTAATACATGTCTGAGATAAAACAACAACTAAAGTCATTATCAGGAACTAAAGACATAATGAACCCCTTTGAACTATTGTTTCAACTCTGTTCAAGCAGAGCACATACGCATGCACATGCCCGGGCACGCTAAGGGCAACTACTTGTAGGTAAAAGAATTTTAATAGTACGGTTTTACTGAAAAATAGGTGAAGGTATACAGTGCTCCAGGGATGATGTTTTTCTGTCGTCCTGGTTCCTTCTTCAAAAAGCCATTAACAATCTACACTATGGTCACATGACTTAGGCCTCATTTACACCGCAAGCAATGCGTTCGCAAAGCGGTCCACAAGCGTAGCAGCAGCACATGTGTATTCACACCAAAACCGAAGAGATGCGTCCCGTCAAAATACACACCACACCCGAACAGTTGGTGGCGGTAGTGCACCGTGTTTGCAAATTTCCAATAAACCCCAAAGAAGAAGAAGTGAGTTTGGACCCAAAGCCCAGGGTGGACAGGTTCACGTGCCAGTGATTATTCCAACGCTTGGAGAATTAATATTTAGCACTACAAATGGGTGAGTAGTCTTTGTCTGCTTTGTATTACTAGCCTTAGCACAAAAAGCCCATTTGTCTCAATGTTAGCCTCATTGCTACATCTTTTGTTGTGACCTCTCTTGGCTTCCATAGATGTCGATTTTTTGTTGAGTACAGTGACCATTCGCTCATGACTCGCACAAAAAAAAATGGCGCCTCTTCTATTTTCAAGCTTGCTCGCGAAAGCAGTGCGACTCGAGAGGTGCGCAGAATGGATGTGGTGTGTTAACAGCGACCGTTCGCGAGCGCTACGTGAATGCATCGCTTGCGGTGTAAATGAGGCCTTATTGTCACCACAACAACGAGGCTGTTCAGCGTGATGAAGTTCTGTAGTGTTCTATGTCCAGCTTGTGTTAACCATCGACCTTATTTCACACATCTAACCAAAAACACACTGACCTCAAGATGAGGGAACAGGAAGTGCTAACATGCTAACTCATGTCCCAGGTTTCAGGACTCATTCCTGGAGCAGCGACATGACTTATCCACCACACTTCCAAGGGAAGTACTGATCATACTACTGGATAAATGAGACTTGGAATATACTGCTCAAGTTGTGTGAGAGCTTTTGAACCAAGTCTCAAGTTGTCTGTGACTTGGTTTTGAAAATAACCTCTCATGATCTATTTTGGTTCATAAAGGGAGAATGAATGAGTCTGAAGAAAGCCTGAATCATCAGTGTGTGACTGCAGGGAGTGATGACCCGTGCTGCCTCTGGGGGAGCGTAACAGGAAGGAGATAGAAGTTGGAAAGAAGAAGAAGTCTGTCTGATGAAGTTTCATCTCCGGCACTGTCGTCACCACCGACAGCAGACGACAGTTTCTCCGTCTCCGCAGTATAAATGAGGACATTAAGAGTTTGTTGGCCTCACAGGAAATTAAACTCCTGTCACACAGAGGGATGTTTTCTGGGAACTGCTAACATCAACACACACACAGCGATCTCTACACGACACCTTTTCAACTTTTCCACAGAGGCTACATTCCTGCTGCTATAATGTGTGTGAGTGTGTGTGTGTGTGTGTGTGTGGACTCCGTGAAAAGGCCTTTTTCTGGAAGTTTCCTCTGAACCGACACACTCCACTGACTCTGTTTGCTGACTGGGTAACACACTGTTTAAGTGTGTGTGTGTGTGTGTGTGTGTGTGTGTGTGTGTCGAGGCGTGACTTGTCTATTTAAGGACATTTCCATTGACTTTCACACACACATGCAGTGTGATCAGCGGTAGACCGTCACCACGGTAACCAGATGCTGGTCAGAGGTCGCTAAGTTTCCGTTTCTGTTTTTTTCTTCCTCTTTTTTTATTTCTTATCTATTTATTTATTTTATTTATGTAAACTAAAATATTTCAGGTTGATTTTTTTGTCTTATTCTCTGAAATTCACTTTACTGCATCAAACAGTAACAGATATGATTCAAGGGCTTATGATCAGCTCTTATATTGATGTTTTCCTTCCTCCTTCCTTTCTTACTGTAATTCTTTGTACGTGGGTGGAGATCACTCCGTCATCTGCAGTCAGAACAAAACTTAGCCGCTCGTCTTCTAACTGGGAAAAATAAAACGGGTCATATGACACCAGCATCGGCCTCCCTTCACTGACTTCCTGTCCATTCCAGGATTGATATTACGGGCCAGTCCCAATACCCCCCTTAGCCCTACACCTACATTTGCACGTTCCCGCGTGTAGGAGTAGGGGGCATAACGAGGGGTAGCGGGTATGAAACCATTCCTTCGGAGCGAGGGATTTCAGATGCTGACTTGCCAGCGAGGGGTAGACGTTGCCATGGCTACCACTGAGCAAGAGACGGGGAAAAAAGTTCATACATAGCTAACGTTACCATCGTCAGGTTGCTTGTTAGCTAGCTAGCTAGCTCGCACTATCTGGCATCTGTCATCTGTCCTGTTCTGCAAAATTGTCGGATTTTTCACATTACACCAACTATGCGTGTGTTAGTTAATGTTAGCTAGCTAGTTAGCTAGCAGAAGTCCCCTGTCGTCTGTCGTTCATCAAACGAAGCATGATAAATAATGCAAACACGATCAGTAGGATGAACTCAACTGGAGACTCCATTGTAGATGCTGGTTGGAAATGTAGATGGCTCGCAGCTTCCTGTTTAAAATAGTTGCTTCATTTTGAGGGCCAACGGGTAGGGTCAAGGGCTAAGGGGTAGGGCCAAGAGCTAAGAGGTAGTGGCCAAGGGCTAAGGGGTAGGGCCAAAGGCTAAGGGGTAGGGCCAAGGGCTAAGAGGTAGTGGCCAAGGGCTAAGGGGTAGGGCCAAAGGCTAAGGGGTAAGGCCAAGGGCTAAGAGGTAGTGGCCAAGAGCTAAGGGGTAAGGGGTAGGGCCAAAGGTTAAGGGGTAGGGCCAAGAGCTAAGGGGTAGGGCCAAAGGCTTAGGGGTAGTGGCCAAGGGCTAAGGGGTAGTGGGCAAGGGCTAAGGGGTAGGGCCAAGGGCTCAGGGGTAGGGCCAAAGGCTTAGGGGTAGGGCCAAGGGCTAAGGGGTAGGGCCAAAGGCTAAGGGGTAGGGCCAAAGGCTAAGCGGTAGTGGACAAGGGGGGGTATTGGGATTGTGCCTAAGAGTTGATTGCTGGTTTTTAAGGTTTTAAATCCTCTAGCACCTTCTTATCTAACAGCACTATTGTATCTTATGCTCCAGTTAGAGCTCTGAGGTCAACTGATCGGAGACGTCTGGATGTTTCTAGAAGTAGACATAAAACCAGTGGCGACCGAGTCTCTGCGATGGCCGCACCTAAACTCTTGAACAGCTCGTCCGTTCATGTAAAAACTCCTCTGACTGAGAAACCTATCAGTCGCTGCTGAAGACCCGCCTCTTCTTGTTGGCGTACAACTGATTATTCGAGCTTGATTCCTTTGGTCAGCAGTGGTTGACTGAAGTTTGACTTGACTTACTTCTGTTTTATATCAGCTTCTTGTTCAGTCTCTCTTTTAAAGTCTGTGCCAATCAATTCTGAACAATGTTCATGCGCTGCTTGGATCCATACAGAATTTGTGGTAGCATGTCATTGCATCGCACCCACGTGTCCACTCAGGTGTCATGTTTCCATCACTACCAATCGACTGATAAATCCCCCTCACTACTGCAGAGTCATTTATCCAGGAATGAATGCTGACTGTAACGTTTCCTACTAAAGACAAACCCAGATGTTGGAGGGTTTTTGTCCAAGGATCTATACACTGATGACTGATCTGAACACTCCCCGTCCCCACCAATGTAAGTGTAACTGTCACTGCACTGTTCTGCTCCAGCAGACTGTACTAATCCCTCTGAGTGTACCTGAATCACAGATGTGTTCTTCTCGCTGTGACAGTTTGTGTGTTTGATATTTAACATAATGAAGTTCTTTCCTGTCGGTTGTTGCTGCTGTTGTTTCTGATGGAGTCATTAATCCGCAGATTTGTTTCATAGTGTCGTCTAATACTTTAATGTTGACTCAGTGTACTGTCTACACACACACACACACACACACACACACACACGGTCCGTCGTCTGAATACAAAAGTGTGTTTGACTCTGAATGGCTTTTGTTGATCTCTTTAGTCTCCTTTTAGTCCTGCTTCCTGTCAACAGGGAGGGGTCCTGTTGTGTGTGTGTGTGTGTGTGTGTGTGTGTGTGTGTGTATTCACTCACCTCGTTTCCATGCATGTTAGCCACATATTTGAACTCGGGGATGCCGACAGTGTGACGGCGAGGACTGAGACCCAGAGCCAACACCCACAGCTGCTGACCTGAGAGAGATGAGTCAGAGACAGAGTTTTTACATGTCGCTGTTTCTAAGGAAAATATTCAGCTGAGATGTTTTATACCGAATCACTGCAGATGGATAAAGTTCAGCTCTAAACCGACTCCGGACACTGGCTTTGGATAGACTTATTTCACTTCTCCTCCAGTGTGGAAACAGACCTGAAACCTGCACCTGTATATCTGTGCGTAATGTGAAAGACGTCGCACGTAGTGATGAACACACAGAGAATAATCACTTCTGCAGTTCCTCTTAAAGTGTTTCACTGTTTTGATTCATCTCAGCAACACATTCTCAATACCACTTATATATCCTCGTCAAATACCAACAAAAACAACACTCTAGTTACCCTCCAGGGTCAGTTTTGGACTCTCAGGGATGGCAAGTCAAACTACGCTTGTTACATGCATTGTGTCTTTTCAAAAGACACAATGCATGTCTTTCCTGTGGAAATGGATGTTTCTGCTCATTAAATTCAAACAGTCTCAAAATAGACATAGAATTTAGGTTACCGTTGTTTTTTGATTTACTTCCTAAAGTTTATGCAACAGAAGCACGTGGTTAGGTTCAGAAAAAAACCCATCATGGTTTGGCCTAAAATAAGAACGATTGTTAACTGAGCACAGTGTTAGTTCAGGCAGAACATGATGTCCACACCAGCTCAAATCCCAGCTACATCAGCTGATCTCAAACAGGCCAATCAACTGATGGATCAGCTGATAGATCACATGATTCCTTTCTATGCAACCAATTGGCAAATCTCATTCAGGGCACCCTATTTAAACTGACTTACACTGGAATTCCACTGGATGTGTGTCCTTTGTGGAACGGCTGCGCTGGTTATCCACTGCGTGCTCCGCCGTCCGTCAACACCCACCGGCTGCGTTTGCTGTGCGGAGCGGTGCAGCGCCGCCGGACAGCGGGACCCACGAGATCTCGCAAATTCATGCATAATCACGCGATATAACAAAAAGTAGTTTCTATAAACAGAACCACAAAACCAGAGGAGTAGTAGGAAGACATCTGGGTGCACCTCCATGATTAACATCTCCTCGTCCATGGTGTCAACGGGGTGAAATGACGTCTGGAAATCTCTGACCTGTTGACTTCAGGCCTGCCTCCGCCCATTATGACGTTTTCAAGGTGTAGTGCAGGGAAATATGATCCGCCGTGAACACTGTTTATTTTATTTTGAAAATTAACCAGATGTTTTATTTTGTTTCTGTGCAAGACTTCCTGCCCCGCACAATCTGCTCTGTGCTGAATTGCTGCGTTGTGCTCCGGCGTCCGGCAAAAATAGAAGTCCTGCATATCTGTTGCAGAGGGCTCCGGAGTGCCTCAGCTGTGACGGAGCTGGAACGCAGCACAGCTGCAGCCGGTGGAAACACACACATTGACTGGAATTGAAACGAACCGGCTCCGCTGCCGTTCTGGAGCGCAGACGCAACCAACACGCATCTAGTGGAATTTGGGGGTAATGCAGACGGTAAGGATGCCTGGGGGTGTCAGTGTCTGACACCAAAGTCACATCAGCCACAACAAATTTGATCGCACCTGTGTGTTGCTGTGTTGCCTGTGTTCTATTGAATGTCCAAGACAAATTTTTCCTATGGAAGACACTAAAGGCTTATCTTATCTTATCTTATCTTATCTTATCTTATCACAGTAACACCTTAATGTCAGCTCTGTGAGTTAAACTCAAACTGGAGCTAATATTTACCCAGAAGAGTCCGTCTGAGTGGTCAGTGTGATATTCATGACTTGTTCTCAGCTGAAAACATGGAATCATTAACCTCTGTTTGAAAAAGGGATTATCGTCACATGTTCTCACAACACTGAACCACTGAAGCACCAAGCGACTTCTGAAATTAAAAACACCGTCACACAGATTTATGCACTCGATCTATGTCCATGTCAAAGTTTAAAGTCTCCTCAGACGACGAGTTCTGCAGCAGCAGCAGCTCAGTTTGAATTTTCACTGCTGCTGATTTTTGGTCGTTAAAAATTTCCATGTAAACAAAACTACTGTAACTCATGTAGGTGAATGAATGAAGCTCTGCAGGTATCAGCACGTCTGTAACACACACACACACACACACACACACACACATACACAGGGCAGTAAAGTGTGAACAAGTCCTCAGCAACATGAAGGAAAGACGAGGAACAGACGAGGTGACACACAAACACAAAAAGACACACACTCAGGTTGGACGCAGGCCAGCTGGTGTCCTGGATTAGTTCAGATTATCTGTGTGTGTATGTGTGTGTGTGTGTGTGTGTGTGTGTGATTAGTCAGATTAAGTTGTTCCTCAGATTAAGTTAACCACCGTTTACAGTCCTGTTATGTGATCACACCAACAGACACACACTCAAGTCAAACCCATGGTTGTCATGGTGACGGACACCTGACACTTTATCAGTCATGCATCATCCCCTATGTGTGTGTGTGTGTGTGTATGTGTGTGTAAGATCTTTTGAGCTGTTGGACGTCATAATTACGAGATAAAGTGTCCAACCTTTTTCTTGGTAAATGTAACGTGCCTCTGTTCTTTTACATGTTGAAAAATAAGTTGGAAACGGGCAGTAAGACAGACAGACAGACAGACAGACAATCAGACAGACAGTGAGACAGACAGACAGTTAGACAGACAGTCAGACAGACATGTGTGCCGTTACCTCTGACAGAGCGGCCGATGCTGTACAGATGTGTGACGTCAGGGTTGGAGGCGTTGACCTGGAGGAGGTACTGCTCGATCTCACGGTTGTTATGGTAACGGAACTCCAACATGGAGGCCGGGGTGAGGATGAGGAAGGGCAGGAGGAAGACGAGGAGGAGTGATGACATCACTGTAGTGTGACCTGTGGGAGCAGAAAACAGGAAGTCAGCAGTTTTAAAACAACAACACGAACAGCGAGGAAGACGTCGTGTGTGAGTGACATTAAAACAGCTGATGATTCTTCGCACATTTTAACTAGCGTTTAAAAAGATCTGATGAAACTGTTCCTCTCATCTCATTGGCTGTTCTGAGACTCGTTCAGGCGGCAGATTGTCAGGTGTGTGACTCATGATGACACATCAGGTCCAAAGGTGCTCCGTCTGTAAACAAAGGTTCAGTGTTTCTCCTGGAAACACTTTGTGTGTCCTCCAGGCCTGAAAACTGCTGAATGTTTTCACTGGCTGGCTTCATCATCATCATCATCATCTTCTTCTTCTTCTTCTTCACCTCTGCTGGCGACACTTCTTGGCGTGTTTCCGCTGCCAAGTCAATCAGGTGACTCAGTTCATTACCTGCGTGCCTGAGCATGTGGACCTGCATTTGTATAGCTCCTTTCTAGTCTTCCGACCAGTCAACGCGCTTTTTACACTACGAGTCACACTCACACTCTGGTGGCCGAGGCTACGATACAAGGTGCCACCTGCTACTCACTCACACACCGATGGAAGCGTCATCGGGAGCAATTTGGGGTTGATTAGCTTGCTCAAGGATACTTTGACATGCAAACTGGAGGAACCGGGGATTGATGAGGATTTCCTGGTCGCATCAACAGTTGTTCTCGCCCCGACCCGTTGGTGTTCCTGTTATCTAGCAAGCGGCTGCGCTTGACGAAAGAAGGAGTAAACTAGTAAGTTAGTTAGCTCTAAATCATGGACCAGACATAGTTATTATATTTAGCTTTTATTTAATACTTGAGGAGATGATTCACCACCAGAGACACAGTCGTCTGACGTATTTCAGGCTGATGGAGTGTTTTCAGGTGAACTTACTAAATTCAGATTGTTTAAGCTATGTGCTTTTAGCTAACGTAATGTTAACAACAGTTAACCGTTAGCTTGTAAGTTAGTTAGCCTTAAATCATGGACCCGGAGATTGTTAGTTTTTATTGAGTCCTTGAGGAGATGATTCATCGTCGTGTGACACGTTTCAGGCTGATGGAGTGTTTTCAGGTAAACTTATTTATTTATTTTTATTTAAGCTTTATTTAACCAGGCAAGTCATTAAGAACAAATTCTTATTGACAATGGCGGCCTGGCAAACTCAGATTGTTTAAGCTGTGTGCTTTTAGCTAACGTAATGTTAACAACAGTTAACCGTTAGCTAGTTAGTTCACTAAACTTAATATATAATAGTCACCGGCGCTCAATGCATCTTGGGATAGGCTGAGCCATGAAGGATTCATCTGTTGCATCCTCCAGATCCTGGGAAAGAAGGTTGCATTTCTCGGCCACATGTGAAGTAGCGTTCGACATGGGACGGCCTTGGTCGCGCCGATGTGACGCGATCAGTCCTCAAATGCAGCCTTCAAAAGCTGTAGCCCTGAACTGAGACACAGTCACTGTGTGTGTTCACCCACTGTAGAGAGACCTGCATTTATATCTGTGCACAATAGCGTTTATAATGTGTGTCATCACTCCTGAGCCTGAGTCCGACAGATGGAGCTGGTTTCTGCCTCGGACTGTTCTTTGGGAAAAACAAGACATTTAAAGACGTCAGCTGGGCTTCAAGAAATCTGTTTTCTGACATTTTATGGCCCAAATAATCGATTCTTAGAGAAGATCACTGAGAGACTGATCAATGATAAAGACAGAGTTAGTTACAGTCCTGTTTCTGTGTCTGAAAACAACAATAAGATGTGAAATAAAAAATAAAACAGAAGCTTGATGGCGCCGTTTGTCTGCTGGAGGACGACTGAACACTCATCAGGAAGTAATGATCGTTTTGCAGATGGATGCTGGGAAGTGAGATCAGAGCAGCTGCAGACACACGAGCATTCATGCAGACGCTCAGGAAGTCATGGGTGACTGTCACATTAAACCTGTCAGCAGGGACAGACACATGAATGAAGACACGACTGTGAAAGCAGAGAGACGTTTTATTTAAGTGTCTTTCTGTTCCCGTCACTGACAGTAACTGACATCTGTCCTCTGTACATGCCGTCTGTCCTGAGCTGCTGCCTGTCAGCTGCGTCTTTTCAGGAATTTAAAGTGATGCGTAAATGTGTAATTACAGTTTGAGGTGTCTGCAGGTCGTCATCAGGAACACTGTCACAGCCACAGAGCGGCTCCGTGACTTTACAAACAGGTTACTGTCAGATAATAAGCAGTCTTCACTCAGTCGAGGCCTCACGTCTCTTACAACTGTTTGTTTCTGCTCTTTATATTTGGTTCATGTGTTTTACTTCATTGATATTTACATGAATGTCCTCGACTGGCTCCAAAATTAAAGTTAAAGCAACATAAATAATTCAAGCTCAAATTATATTGTTTCCATCATCGGCCTTGTTACTATGTTGCGTACATGTGCACAGTACACATTCGTTGCAGCTTCATCGTGCACATGCAGATAAACAGCTTCTAAGAAACGAAACCTCTTCACTGGGTTTTATTTTGGTTTTGTTGGTTTAGTCGAGTTAAGTTTAGTCAAACTTTCATTTTCAGTGTCACAGTTCAGTCTTGACTTTGGAGACAAACACTAAAAAAATCCTGTTCTGTAACTCAAAGTCTGAAGACAACAAGAGACGGTCGAAAGCTCTGGATCAGTGGATCTGGAGTTTAAAATAGTTTTGTGAAAACTTGTCAACACATAAACTACAAACAAAGATCCACAGAAACATGATATAAACATGACGTGGTGTGGTAGCTGGAGAGATGCCAGTTTGCCTCCTGGGCACAGCCTTCGAGCAAGGCACTGAACTCCTAAATGTTCGGGGCCCCTGTCCATGGGCAGCCCCCTTCACTGTGACATCTCACTATGTAATGTATGTATAGGTCCTGTTTATGTGTGTGTATATGACATCGATCCAATATCCTGCATCCGTCATCAAACTGTACTTTAAGTACCAAAAGTAAAAGTACTCGTTATGCATCAAATTATATCTTTGTCCATGATGATAAATCAGAATTGCATGCATCATAATTTGTTGATGATATTTTATATTTATTTACCCAGATCTGTGAAGTAAATAAAGGCAGTAAAGTAAATAAAGTATTCAGTTACTTTACTTTAGTAACACACGTCGTTTAAATACAACATCATCTCTGCACTTGTGCTATTTTTTGGCCATTTTGCTTTCAATGGACAGGACAGCCAAGTGTGAAATGGGGAGAGAGAGAGAGGGGATGACATGCAGCAAAGGGCCACAGGTGGGACTCGAACCCGGGCTGCTGCGGCAACAGCCTTGTACATGGGGCGCCTGCTCTATCCACTAAGCCATGGGTGCCCCCACTTGTGCTATTTTTAATGTTGAGGTTTTTTTTACAATTATAAATAATTTAGTAATTAATTTTACCTTTTTTCTCTTTTTGTATATTCATATCATTATCATATTTTATATTTTTATCACTCTGTAAATCACCTTGAATTGCCCTGCTGTATGAAACGTGCTGTACAAATAAAGCTGCCTCACACTAAACGTTACAGTCCTGTGTCACTGATGAAATAATTCATATTATTATCAAAATGTACCTAAAGCTATAACATCTAATTATATATTGTGTTATTATTAATACTGATGGATTTGTGTGTAATTTGCATTTTGCTGAACTTGTTGGAGCTGATTTGAACCATTTCATACACTGTTGCATGTTTTAATATTTGTACAAAACATAATGATTTAAAATGAGTCAGCCTAGTGACTACAGCTGTCTGATCAATGTGCAGTAAATTATATTTCCATGTGAGAAGCAGTGGAGTAAAAGTATGAATGGAGAAACTTCAGTGAAGAAGAACCTTGAGTTTGAACTTGATGTGTTGAGCTGAGACTGACGGTGTGAGCTCAGCACCAGACAACACAAACACACAAACACACAAACACAACAACAACTTGAGGACATGTGACTTATTGATCACACATGCAGGAGTGTGACAGACAGACAGATCGATAACAGACAGACAGACAGATCAGTAGCGACGGTCAGAGGTCTTACCTGTCCGCTATCTGTCGGTCCGCCGGTCCGTCTGTGACTCCAACACCGACCAACACCAACCAACACCGGCCCCGGTGACCGCACTGCTGCCGCTGCTGCAGAGGTGACACACTGTCTGACTGTCTGTCTGTCTGTCTGTCTGACTGTGTGTGTGTGTGTGTGTGTGTGTGTGTGTGTGTGTGTGTGTGTGTCTGTGTGTCCGCTTCTTTGAATGAATGTTACTTATTCACCAGCGGGTCTCCCTGTCTCTGCCCGGGAGGGGCGGAGCTTAGAGGACTCTGTGTGTGTGTGTGTGTGTGTGTGTGTCTGTGTGTGTGTGTGTGTGCTGCAGATTCAACAGGTTTATGAATAAAACAGAGGATCCATCCAGTTTAACAGGACAGAGACAGGACAAGTTAATCATCACTACTGTGTGAAACTAAATAAATTCATGAATTTAAGCTAAATGTGATCATGACACATTCAGGGTGCAGCTAAGTTTCAGTTTGGAGGAAGACGTGCCCTCAGAACAAAGTCAGTTACTGTAACATTAGAAATATTTGGATGTGTTGTTATCATGTGCAGGATGATGATTATGATGATGAAGAAACCAGTGTCGGGAGAAATAAACTGGTACAGTGGCCAGTTCTGTTGTTCCAGCACAAGGGGCATACTGGGCCTAAAATAAAATGAATAACTCTCCCACATATCCTCCAGTATCATATATATTGGCCTCTTATTAAAGGGGCATGTTGGCCACTTTATTAGGAACAGATGCCCCCCGCCCAGGGCAACAAGCTAAAAACAAGCTATTGAAATAAAACAAGTTAATTAACGATGATCTAGAAGACTTTTAACATTCACTTGAGGCTAATTGTTTTTAATTTCAGGGCGTCTTCCTTTAGCAAGCTCGCTAAAAATGTTAGATAACTCCAGGCGGCGAGCAATGCTAATGATTGCTAGCTAGCTAATAACACTAAAACTATGATACGATACTACTACTATAGATATGAACTATATGAAGTCACATATGACTGTATATTAGATAATCTCAATAATATATTGGAGGTTATATAATATTATATAAATGCTAAAAGAAACATGCTAACATGTTAACAATGACAATGCTAATCTGCCTTTTAGCAGGTGTAATCGGAGTCCACACAGTCATGGAAAACCTGGAAAAAAATGTTAGTAAGGGTCCTTGATAAGTCATGGAAAAGTTTTGAAATTTTGTCAGTGAAAATGTGTGGGACACCTGTACAATGTTTACTTCGTTAACCATCTTAGTTTAGAGTGTTAGCATGCTATCATGCTCACAGTGGCAATGCTAATACGTTAGTGTTTAAAAATTGTATTACAAAATGTTAATATGCAATGGTCTTTTGGGATAAATGCTCAGGTAACATGCTAACATGCTCACACTGACAATGCTAATATGTTGATCAGCAGGTATGATGTTCACAAAGTTAACCATCTCAGTTTAGTTTGTTAGCATGCTAACTTGCCCAAAGTGGCTATGCTAATATGCTAGTGTTTAGAAGCTTCACCATTTAGGCTGTTAGCATGCAAACATTTACAAATTACAAGTAAATGAGAAAGACACATTCGTAGGGAACTTTGATGAGATTGTTGGACTTAAGGCTGTGGGAGCCTTGAAGAGGTTGCACAGGAGCCCTTAAGGAGGTTTGTAGGGGACCTTGGAGAGACTGGGGGGATCTTTGAAGAGGATAGTCCTTGGCAAGGTTGTAGGACTTCATGGGGAGGTGGTGAGGGCCTTGAAGAGACTGTGGGACTTCTTGAGGAGGTTTATGGGGGATCAAGAGGTTATAGGGGTCAATGAAGAGATTGTTAGTCCCCTTGATGTAGTTGTAGTGTTCTTGAGGAGGTTGTTGAACTTCTTGAGGATGTCTTGTCGGTCCATCAAGAAGTTGTAAGGGGAGCTGAAGAGGTCATAAGGACCTTGGAGAAGTATAGGGGCCATGAAGAGGTTGTAGGAGTCCTAAAGGGACAGTTTAGTCCTTGTGGATGGTTTAGGAATCCCCGAGAGGGTTGTATGGATCATTTAGTAGGTTGTAGGGGCCCTTGAGGAGATTGTTAATATTTGGAGAAGTTGTTGGGTCCTTGAAGATGTTCTAAGGCTCCTTAGAGGAGGTTGTATGGGTCATCGAAGAGATTGAAAGGTTTCTTGAAGCACTTGTCAGATCCTTAATAAGGTTCTAAAACGTCTTGAGGATGATGTATGGTTCTAGGGAGGGGTCGCATGGATTGTTAAGGTGGTTGTAGCAATTCTTGAAGAAGCTGTAGGGTCTTTGAAAGCCCTTGAGGTGGTTGTATGGGTCATTGAGGAGGATGCAGGGTTCCTTGAAGAAGTTTCTTCAAAAGGTGTTCTAAGGGAAGTTGTAAGGGTCCAGGAAACAGGTTGTAGTAAACCTGGAAGATGTTGAAGTCTTTGAGGCTGTTGTAGGAATTAGTAACTTATTATAGTGTTTTACAAATATGTTTAATTTGTTTGAGGTGTTGTGAACATTAAACCACAAGTGACTGACTTCGATAAAATATAGACCAAATGTTTCAAGTCCTTCATCTTGAATTTAGGAACAGACTGAGACAAACTGCTCCACAGATGATTGTAGTCATTAGTTTTACTCCTAAAAGTGACAATTTTTTCATGTAACGACCCTGATCTTTATAAGAAAAGTTAGTGTGTGGTGGCATTTACAATTAAAGGTTGTTAGAAGTGTCAATGGAATTTGAAAAGTTCTACTTTGGTGCCCCCAAGTGGCAGCATAAAAAAACACACTGTGGCAGAACAGTCAGAATTATTTCAAAGATTCTGTAAGACATATGAAAATGTAGTGTTTATCCCCACTTATTTATATCTTGTTGTGCTAATTTATTAACCCATAGAGAACTTCTTTTATTGTAGTTAAGATTATTTATATACACATTTCATACACAGAGGAAACTCAAGGTGCTTTACAGAGTTTAGTAAGAGAAATAAAACTGCATACAAATTATTATTATTATCATTATTATTATTATCACATAAAGGCCCTTAGAAACAGATAATAATAATATTATTAAAAACTATAAGAGGCAGACAAAAGGCAAAATAAAAATGCAGTTTAAGTGCAAATCTAACAGAGAACGCAAGGTGTGGTTGTTTAAATTCTTTTTTTGGTTTGATGTTTGCAAGTGTGAGTCTTCTTTTATCATCATTGTTGAATTATTTGGATCATTTTACGTGTTTTTATTGCAGTGAGATGCTGGTTTTATTAAATGTTTTTATTAAAGCAATTATATGTCTTGTTATACACTAAATTTTCACTATTGGACCTCATTAGTATTCATGTATGCAGGTACATGTGTATATCTGCACATATGTGTTTGTGTGTAGAGCTGCAAAGAGTCAGTTAATTGATTCCCAGAAAATTAAATTGCAACTATTTTGATAATTGATTCATCGTTTCAGTTTTTCAAGCAAAGATGCCAAAAAAGGATCTGGTTCCAGCATCTTAAATGTGATTTGTTTTTTATCCTTGTCGTATAGTAAATAAAATATCATGAGGTTTTGAACTGTCCGACAAAACATGCTTTTTGTCAATAGAATAAACGATTAATTGAGAAAATAATAATCAGATTGCAGAATAAAGAAATGAATCCTTAGTTGCAGCCTCATGTGCGTACAGATGTGTGTATGTTTACTAATGTGGTTTGGTTTGTTTTCGATCATCTGACATGTTTATAAGATATTTGCACATATTGTAAAAGAAAATCATCATGAGAAAACATTTTCACCTTAAAACCACATCAGACTTTTATCGGGCCCAAACGATCACTCACTGAAACATTATTATCTGAGATTTAGTCTCCAGGTCCTGGGCCCAGATCCTCGGTTCAGTGATGAGACTAAACCAGGACTGAAGACTGTGAAGGAGGGAAGAGGTCTCACTCTGACAGATGTGTCAGTCACTGAAGAAACCAGCTGAATGAAATCAAACAGGAAGTGTCAATGACATCAGGTTTGTTTTATGATGATCTGGCACCATCTCCTGGCTACAGCTACAAACTACAAGTATGACATCAATTTCACCATGTGGGGAAGTTTTCCACACGTGGAATACTTAATATTCCAGGGTGATGTCCTTCACCAGAGGTCCATAACTAACCAGACAAGGTAACACATCAAGATTTTAATGTTTAGATGAGTAAATAAGTGGTGTCCTTGAGTCCTTGAGGAGGCTGTGCTGGTCTTTGCATATAATTTATGGATGCTTAAAAAGATTCTACTGTCCCTGAGAGTGGTCCTACAGGAGGCTGATAGGGGTCCTTGAACAGATTGTAGGAGTCCTTGAGAATATTTTAGTCCCTTAGAAGATTGTAGACATATTTGAGAATGTTGTAGAGGGTTTTGTAGGGGATGTCAGGGCCTTAGGAAAGTTTTGGGTTCCTTTAAGAAATTGTAAGGGTTCTTGAGAAGATTGTCATTGGAGAGATTGTAAGGGTGACCTTACAGGGAGACCTTATAGAGGTTGTAGGAGTCATTAAGGAGGTTGTTGGAATCCTTGAAGAACATTTAGGGTCCTGAGAAGACAGCAGGAGGCACTGGAGTCACTTAAGAGGTTGTAAGGTGCTTAAAAAGGTTAAAGAGGCCCTTGAGGTGGCTGTAGGGGTCAATGACGAGGTTGTGGGGTCCTTGAGGAAACTGTAATATTCCTTGAGAAAGTTGTAAGAGCACATGGGAAGGCTTGGTGGATCCTTGATATTGTAGTCCTTGAAATTGTTGTAGAAATCCTATCAGAGGAGGTTTCAGATAATGCTAGGGAGGTTGTAGGGTCCTTGAGGAAGCTTAAGTGGCCTTGAAGCGGTTGTAAAAGTCTTGAAGAGCTTGCATGCGTCATTTAAGAGGTAAAGGTACTTAAAGAGGTTATAGGCATCACTGGGGTCATTGAAGAGGTTGTACAGCTCTTTGGCCTTGAGGAGCTTGTAGGGGTCCTTAAGTAGGTTAAGTAGGAGTCACTGTATAAATGACACGTGTTCTTGAGAATGTTGTGTGGGTCCTGAGGATGTTGTAGTCCTTGAGATGGTTGTAGGAATCTGTGAGGAGGTTGTAGCAGTCCTTGAGGATAATGTAGTCCTTAAGGTGGTTGTAGGGGCTCCAAGGAAGGTTGAGCAGCCTTGAATGGGTTGTAAG